GGGGGGGGGGGGGGGGGGGGGGGGGGGGGGGGGGGGGGGGGGGGGGGGGGGGGGGGGGGGGGGGGGGGGGGGGGGGGGGGGGGGGGGGGGGGGGGGAGGCGGCGTGTCGCCGGGGTGGCCGGGGGAGGGCCGTCTGGAAGTCTCCGGCCTGGTGATGAGTTACCGGCGAGACCTCACCCCTTCGCTGAAGGGAGTCACTCTTACGGTGGGGGCGGGAGAGAAGGTGCGCGTTAAATGCGAACCATATGCGCAGCACCCAACAGGAAAGGAGCTCGTGGGTTGACCCTGTGTTGATCTGCAGCGGGCGCGGGCCTGCGAGGGATATCTTGAATCGTGCTGCTACTGTTGTATGTCAACACAGGCCCCTACGTAGAGAACATGCAATGATTTATTGCTGGTGATGAAAATACTTCTATACCATACGCATACGTGTAGAGATGTACGAGCTCACGCTATCGTGGTCGTGCCATGATGTCCTTCCCAGGGGATGAAAACGACGGGCGTGTATCTATCGTGCACCATGCACCTTGTGCGCATCTTCTTGGGTACGGAGGGTCCCAAGGTGATTGCCAAGGCACTCGCGAGGGTGCGGAAACCGCTTCGTAACTTCGCACCATGCACATCACGCCCTTCCCGCAGGTTGGTATTGTGGGCAGGACCGGTTCGGGCAAGACATCGTTGTTGCGAGCGATTTTCGGGTTGTACCCTTACTCTGGCTGCATCGACATCGACGGAGTGGACATCTCCACGCTGCCGGTACATTTGCTGCGCTCGAGATTGGCCGTCATTCCTCAGGTCAGAACGGATCCTGTCTGTTGGTGCGGTTGAAAGGTTGCTGATTTTGTTCGCACCCTCCTTCCCCAAGCCACAGCGCACACGTACCGATTCTCCTTTGTTACTGCTGACAACTGCACAATATGCGCCTGACAATTGAAGGTCCCATTGCCGCAATCCGTTTCTCACCAAAAAGCATGTGTGTGTGTTCACCTGGTACCCCTCAACTCAAGCAGGACCCGCTCCTGTTCGCCGGAACCGTTCGCGAAAACCTCGACCCTTCCGGAGAGCACCCTGATACCGCCCTTTGGCAAGCTCTAAGAAGCTCCCGACTGGCCGATGGTGATCTCGACAGAGATTCTGCGGGTGGCGGCGACGACTCAGTCGGTGCCGGTTGGGGCGATTCCTCGGCTACGAAAACCGACTCAACGATTGGCAGCGGCGGCGCTGTCGCGAGGGGGAGCGGCGGGGGCTTCAGGCTGGACACCGAACTGGACGGGTACGGGGTCAACATGTCTTCAGGTGGGGCCAGAACCGCAACAACTGCAGTCCCGGTTTTTCTTCACACCTTCCGGCTGTCTTCGTTGCTGCCCATCAATCGTGCGTTGTGCGATGTGTGGGTGTAAGGCGATCGCAGATTGTGATTCCAGTGAAATAGGGACATGGGTGGCTGGAATGTTGGAATAATTGGTCCCGCTGTTGCACGCAGACTTGGAGATCGTGCTCGTGATGCATGACCAGCCGCTGTGCGTCGGTGATGCAATGGCGTCGTTTGGGTGGTCATCGCCGTCATTGCTTCTGCCAGTGCATTGCCGCTGCTTCTTGCTCTGTCCCAGAGTCGATCGGTCTTGTTTTATCTTCGACGCAACGGCTTGCCCTTTTTTTCTTCGTTATGCACAAGCAGTGCATATTATTGGTGTACCTGCCACTCTTGACTCTTTTCACGCGGACTCTGACTCCGCTAGCTCCCCTGTCCAAAACCCCAACCTGACAACTTTCGCGATCGTTGGGGGTGAAACGTGGGTTTCCGTCTAGCCTGAAGGCACTAGCCGATCTTCAGAGTTTTGGCCAAGTAGAGAAAGAAGCGCCGCAGCAGCGCGACATGATCATGAACGAATCACCCCCCTCCTCGTTTTTCTGCCCCTCTGCCTCTCTCCTGCCTTCTCTCTCTCTCTCTCTCACTCGTTATCTCGCTTCTCTCGGTGCCACGTGCCCACGACTAAACACCAACTCAGGCCAGAGGCAGCTTCTCTGCATCGCGCGGGCCCTGCTGAGGAGGTCCAAGATCGTGTGTGTCGACGAAGCCACGGCAAGGGTAAGCACAACGTTCCTTATAAGATGTTAGCACCTACGTAGATGTTGTTCTGGGGCCGCTGCCCCTGGCATGTTCACGTCGGCGGCGAAGGCGGTGAAATGTCCCACCTGCGATTGTTTTCGGTTCGCTTTTCTTCGTTGGTATATAGGTTACGTGTAAAGGTTGCTAGACTTTGAAGAAGCGTGGCCGATACAGGTGCAAGTGTCTACTTGTGTTACGGGCTGCACCAATCCTGGCGAGACCACACGCGTTTATGAACCACAGCAGTAGCACAGTCTCTAGAAGCGTTGCACATGCCTCACGGGCCATCTAGTTGTTCGGAAACGACAATTGGTCTTACGCATAGGTGAATTGTTTCGCCCGAGACGAAAAATGGCAATCAAGCATCAGGTTCAATCGCCATTTGTTCGTTTCGCGTTCAGATGGACGTGAGGACCGCGAAGCTGGTGGACGCAGCTATGGCAGAGGCGTTTCGGGATGCCACCGTGCTCACAGTCGCGCATCGCCTGCCCCCGGTGTTGGAGTCCTGCGACAAGGTAGCGGTGATGAGCGAAGGACGTGTCGTCGAACAAGGGAGGCCAAGGTGCGCGTGGGTACAGAAAGCGCCCGCACTTAATCTAAGAACTCTAGCACCATTTGTGTGCTCGGTTAAGAGCCCCTACACAAAATGTGACGGTTAGTTGGAGGACGACGACCCTAGGAATACAGTAAGAACCCCAGCCTCGGCCAAACTGTAGAGGTTCTTTAGTGCTGGCGCTTCCTCTAATGCATTTACGTGGGCGGGGGGGCGCCTGTGTGTTTCTCTAGTAGCATCACCCGCGTGGACGCCTTTTCATTTTATATAGAGATGTCCGTGGTCCAAAGCCAAGTTGTGTCCATTTGTTTGGTCAGTACCGAACGCGCGCTGCGCGACTGACCAAGGAAGGAAGTACTGTAGTCGGCGTATGAATCGTTGTTTGTTCACGCGCGTAGTCCGATGTTTCCGAAGGTGCAGAGATTGTAAAGGTTTTCTATGTGAAGACGACAAGAAAACATTATCTGTACGCATACGTGGCAGTTATGTTTTCTTCGGTCGTCCACCTCAAGCGTGCAACCCTGCCCTTGCAGTGTGAATTGTGTTTGCGTCGAGAGCTATCACCGAGTAACATCATACCACATCTTCAAATCAACGTTTTTGGCCACGCCCTTCTGTCTTTTTGCGTCCCGCGCTATCGTCACCCTCCTAAACTGTTTTTTTTCGGCAGACTATCGCCAAGTGCCTTGCTAGCCTGTTGCTAAACGAACATCCATCATTCCGCGTTTGTTGAAAGGGTGTGGGTCATGTTGAACACCGAAATTGGTTCCTACCGTTGCAAAGTTCTGCGTGTGTCGTATGTCGACGTTTAATACTCGTATTGGCGTTGCCTTGCCGCCTTGTTCCCTATGCCTGGCAGGGATCTCGCCGCCGATACAACAAGCCGATTTAGCGCGCTCCTGCGTGCCCAGGACGGAGGGGGAAATGTAGCCGCGTAATATCGTCGACCAAACGTGATCGTGGATGACCATGTCAGTTATGATTGACGGCGTTGTAGAACATGCGTAGAAGACGTGGATGATGGAAGATACACCATTCTCTAGATGCTTTGTGCTAACTGCACGCGCGGCAGTTTGCGCCCACAAGAGGAGAGGAGGAGGAGATGACCCTTTTCTCGGCTCACGTGCAACCACCATTCTCGTGCACAACAGGCGCAACAAAAGCATAGCAGTCTCTCTGTCGCAACTATTTCCACATCTTTGGAGTGTTGTTGCAAAATAACGACGACAGGCGACCTGACCCTGCATTCGCCTGTGCATGTACACGAAGAGGCGGTAGGCGGAAAACACCGCATCTGCTTCAACACTACGTGCGGTGAGCCCTGCTCACACCGGTGGATGCGATTACACACAAAAAACGAACGGTAAAGTTCCAAAATTGGTGTTCTATGTAAGGTAAACAAATTTAACTCCATTTCGTCGACCCGACAAATATTCTATCTGGGGAAGGGTCGCGCACTTCCCCTTCCCCTCCTCTGCCGGGGACTGCCCGTAGGACCACGCCTACCCTCCAAGTAGCAGTACCACGTATGTACTAGCTGCTCTCTACAAGCCCCAATAAATCATGCAACAATAATCTAGGCAATCACATCAACACTGGTCTCAACCAGGCACCTGAGTCCAACACAGGCTGCCGGCTCTAATCGAAGAAGCGTCCGACATTATTTAGATCGTAGCGTCCGAGACACTGACGTCCACATACTTTTGGGTTCTGCACCACCATGAACCCAACCTTGCCCGGAGATCTCAACACTGCCAAAACACACCCGCAAACAGTCTAACTAGAGAGCGCCTTCGGACTCTTGAAGTACCGTTCGATCAAGAAAACACCTAAGATAGTCGCTCTTGCTGTGTCGCTTCTTTCCCACCAGAGGTGCCCTAAAATCGCCACCTGCCGCAACCAGCCTAGCGCTTCTGCAACGCCACCACCATTTACACGAGACAGCAGCACAGACGAAAGCAAATACGGCGGTCTACCTTCCCTCCCGGAGTGCACATGCACCACACAGAATGTAGGGTGCACGTGTTTCTCTATTCGGGGAGCCCTCGCATCCATCGAGAGGCATCAAGACAAACCGAGTGAGTGGACGCAACGCAAGGGCGGTCAACAAGGAACCAACGCGGTACAGACCACCGCTTGACTCGTGCTTGTATTGAATGGCGTCGCATCGCCGCCACGGGCGCTAGTGCTCGGTTGTATTGAGTCGAGGGTCTTCTACACGCGGGAAGTCTACAAAAAATACGCCCACGCAGGGCTTATTGCGGGGGGTCGACCAGCCTTCGCCTTAACTACTTCGTTGTGGCACGTGGTTCTACGTGGCAATATCCCGGCATGCGGGGAAACCCCCCCTACAGCTGCTTCATCAAGAAAACCCAAGCAGTTAAGAGTACAACAGCAACCGCTGCGTAGAAACCAACCGATTTCTCCTCGACCCGCACGCTCGACGGCGCCGTGAGGATTTGAAAGTTTTTTTCCCTGGTGGTAGTAGGGCCAAGACTATATGACGGCCAGGTGCTGGCGTAAGACGTCGTTGACCAGGCGACGCAAGATGTACCCCGTCAGCCCCCAGATCTGGTACGGACCGCCAACAAACGCGGGCGCCGCGTACTTGTTCACTTGCCACCTGCCACAAAATCAAGCCACGGGTTCCGTGGAAACAAAGATTCGTTTCGAGGTTTTGGAAGCGGGACGGCAGGTGGGGGGCATGTACGTCCAAGACAGCACCAGGCCTGCCTGTGGCTGCTCCGATTGGTCGTTGAAGCCACCTTCAACGGGGTGCGTAACCCCTTTCGGCCGCAGGCGCACATTCTCACCTTCCCTGCTACTGCGGAGCTACGATCCGGGACCGCACAGAAGGATATCTCCACGCTCCAAGCAAAAAAAAAGTCGCGAAAAGAAATCACCGGCCCTCTTTCCTTCGTCGACAATCAAATTCGACTCTGCGTTCTCACGAGCAACTCAACAATCAAATTCGACTCTGAATTCTCACGAGCAAGCACTTTCTGAACAGCGTCGCACTGGGACATGAAAAAAACACACACACAACCTCAGCCATCCAGAGGTTTTGCATGAAATGATATCGGGGCGATAATGACCCAAAATGTTATAAACCTGTCGCCGAACTGTTGTTCCTCGATGCGTCGCACCGGCTGCAACAACACCAGCTATGGTGTCAGCGCTGCTGCAGGTGCTAGCACTACCGCTTGCATTGCGAGACAGCTGCGGCAGTAATGTGTGGAATGGCGCCACTTCTGGCTCGGGGCGCGACGGGGCGGTGCCGCTCACCCAGATGCAGACAAACGAGGACCCCTAAACAACAGCAACAAAAGATTGGAAAGCACACACACACGTGCAATCCTGCAACAATAAAAAAAAAGTTCGTGCGAAATGGTTTTTTCACCTGTCCTCTTGCAGCAGGAAACGAACGGGAATCGTAAAACAATGTGAAACCTGCAACATACACACGGCGGTACGGTGTAGCAGCAGCGGCGGCGGCGGCGGCGGCGGCGGCGGCAGCGGCAGCGGCAGCAGCAGTGTCAGCCCGCAGGATATGGGATCGTAAGCGCGTTTCTTGTTTCTTCCAAAACTGGTAACACGCAAGCGGTGAATGGTCCTAAATGAACATCTTGTAGCCTATCCGTGTGCACGAGGCTCGAAACTTGACCGAATTACGGCGCGGAGAAGGAGGGCGCGGAGGGCGAAAAGGGTACACCCCACGATAGGTCGTGTGCTTCACCCGCGCCACGCCTCCGCTGCGAGGCAGACAGGGCTTTGCCACACTGTACCCAAGCCGCATAACGCTCAAACCTATTTGTGTCGCATGTTCTCAACGAAAAAGCCCAAGCGAAGCATTCGACAGGTATGCGGGAGGTGCAGGGCGCGCTATCAGCACGTCGGGGTTTGGGTCTTCAGAGTGTTCACCCGGGTCACAAACAACGATCCACCAAACAAGACAGCAACCGGGGAAAGCGCACGCCGCGTTTCTCCGTCAAAATCGCGCGCAGTGCATCCCCCATGAAATACTACAACAGCGCGATTGTGCATCGCACCTGGGATATTTCCCCGCTGAAGCGAACAACTTAGAGGGTCTGCGAACGTGCCGCACTGCAAGGAACAATGCTCCGTATCGATACCCGCACTTCGCTCTCGACAGTATTGGTGGTTGCTGAACACAAATATACCAGAAGCCCTGCCCGCGGCTCTAATGGCTTCGTTCGCCCTCTCCTACCTCGTCGGGGTTAGGATGAATCTGCTCCAGAGAAAGGTTTCCCAAGAAGCCCACCACGGGGGTGACCGCGACGCCGATCAGGGAAGCCACCTCGGACCAGTCGCAGCGAAGAACTCCGAGCACGTCAACCTTTGGAAAAGAAATAGAGTTCGTGTGATTTTTGAAGTTTTGAGATGAGGATATGCTTGGTACCAGCAATAATCACCACTGAAAGGTTCACAGGCACCCTTTTGCACTGAAAAGGCGTAAAAAGCAAAAAAGCAGTCAAAGCTGTCCATACCTAACGTTTCGGCTTTAGTGAGCTATGTTGGCCGCCGTGTGTCCTGATAAGAGACAGGTTCGCGGATGGCATGTCGCGAGGTGTTCTTCAAGCCCAAGGTGTCGTACGTGACGAGACGGCGATTTGCGAATGCCAGACTGTAGCTTAGCTGTCGTGTCGACACGGAAAAACTGCTGCAGTACTCAGAGATGGACACATAGACAACGACAAAAAAAAAACTTCCTCCTCTGGGCGAACGCCTAATCCTCCAGATTTCCCATGTACTGGTGTGTGACGGAATATACTACACAATCGAAAGATATACCATACAGTACCATCCCACGCCAGCCTATTCGGCAAGCACAGCAGTTGCTTTGCCTCGGGGGGCGCGTTGACTGCCTGAGTATTTTGGGGTGGTACTGCATGACCGGAACTTTTGTAGGTCTCACCGAAGACTCAAGAATGCCAATCTCCTCCCCCATCTCCCTCACAGCCGTCTGGATGATGTGTTGATCCTGGCCGATGTCAACCTAGGGTTTCACAGGCAGGCGTGGTTTCGCATACAGACGCAACAAATTAGGCAACGTCACCACGTTATCTTATCCATAAACAACCAGGTGTGCCGCACTTTGTCACCAGCTAGCACGGGAGTGTGCTATTGGTGCATTGCTGCAAAGCTACGCGTCTTGAACACGTTCGTGACCGCAATCTATAGCCATGCCAGAACTCCACTGGCCGCCTTTGTCGGGACGAGTTAGTCGAATTCCAAGTGTGGCGTACACAAGAAAAAAAACTTGTTCCGTGACCAGCGACCACGACCACGTTGTCATCTCCGGGCGGGTGTCTTCCGTCGCTCAGCAAGGGCTGATTCGACTGCTGTTCTCGTTGCCGGGCCGCGCGTGGGGTAGCAGAGTTCGGAAGCGTCATCATCAAACAAGGCACCCTGCCCAGGCCCCGAACCAAAACCCCCCTCCTCACCTTGCCACCAGGGAAGCAGACGTCGTTCTTGTAGGCCCTGAGGTTACCCGAGCGCTTGGTGAAGAGCACGGACGCCACCCCGTCTACGTTGCACAGCGGGACCATCACGGAAGCCCTGTGGGGGAGAGGAGGCGAGTTGGCCCAGGAAGTGGGAAAAGGGGGTGGAAGGGAAGGGGGGCGTAAGGGGCGAGATTGAAGAAAAGAGAAGAGGAGCGGATGTAAAAGGGGGGAGGCGGTCGAGAAAAATAAAAACTGACTTGTTGATAAAAATGACGCACACTGACCGACAACGCAAACTATCGACGACGCCGTCATACCCGACAAGGACAAAGAGGGACCCCAACAAAAGGGCGGGAACGGACGGAAACACTTCCGTGGGAGCATCGGCCGAACCCGTCAAACCACGATATGCGCCCTCTCCGTGTTCTCCAAAACGTCCCGCATCATGCCATCATTCCGTATTCACGCAATCACCACTGCCGCCATCATCCAATCACCACCCCGCAACATCAATCTAACCCTGACCGGAATCGCCACCGCTGTACATTACCCCGTACCACCCGCTATGTCCAGAGCAGACAGATAAATACCTCTGCTCGGTGAGCGTGGTGACATGGCGCGGCAGCCGCTGGAGCACCTTCCGGAGCGCGTACATGTGGGTCTTCGTGAAGCCCTCGGGCTCGAGGTCCAGCCGACCCAAGGCCCGGCGGCTCTCAGCCACCTGCTTCGCCGTGAAGGGGAGGAGGACCTTCCGGACACCGGACAGATCTCCCTGCACACACAAACAAAACTAGAGTTTACGCCAGAACTGCCCATGCTTCGTGACACAAGCGGCTTGGAGGGACTGGCGGCGACAGAAACCAGGAGGCACAGTTTGCTGCTGGTGTCCAACCAGGGGCCGCTCTCCCTTCTGCCGGCTTGCTCGGAAAAAAAACATGGGCATGAAAGTCGGGGTTTTTCTTTCCTGGCCCTACGGCAGCACCTCTCACCTGCTCCAGCAGATGGGCGCACATATGGAGGGCGGTCTCTCGGTCGCGCAGAGCGGCCGCAAGCGCGGGGGCTGTGAAGCTCTCCACCAGCGTGTGGATGTCTTCCGCCTTGTCCTGGAATAGTTCATGTCCGGGGATTGAACAACAGTTAAGAGCTTCCTCCGTAGCAGGGGGCAAAGCACGACAAAAAAAAATGTAGGGACGTATCAACACAAGAAGGTCATGGCAAATCGGGGCGCGGGTGCGGGGAATTAGGCCGCGGCCTTGTCACCACAGGACGCGAAGGACGTGCGACTGCAAACACCGATGAGCCGCTCAAAAACCCTACACGCCCAACCATAACCTCTGCAGTACCTCTTTGATCACACGCCCAACCATAACCTCTGCAGTACCTCTTTGATCACCCCGAAGCCCTCAAAGCGGCGGAGCGCGGCCTCCTTAAGGGAATGAAACTGAATGACGGCGGTGTCCTCTTTTCCCGAGCCTGACGCCCTTTCCGCCCACTCGTGCTCTGGAGGCGTGATGGGTCACGACGACGACGGCGGGGGGGGCGTACTCTTATGTTTTGCATGCCTTAGCGGTTAGACCATTGACCACGCGTCCTCGTGAGGACGGAGCATTGTTCCCACAGGACCGATTACGGANGGGGTGTACTCATAGTCGTGCATGCCGTAGTCGTTAGACCATTGACCTCGCATCCCTACAAAGCCGGGACGGAGCACGCCGGGTTCTCACCGGACCAGGCTCTCACATCACCAAGCGCGAAGCGCCGTGAGATATTCGGCGAGTCGCACGAAGGGTGCGCTGCATCCTGCTAAGGGTGGTCGGCATCTCGTGCTTACTTCCTTGCGTACGGATGACAGCTGCGTATGAATTAATTTATTTTCTGGTGCTTTCACTTCCAGAGACAGTTGTAAGCACTGTGTAACTGCCTCGAGGGTGCTTGACCATTTTAACACAACGTGGTGCGATCATCCCCCTTGCGCGGAGTGAGGGTTCTCCACCCCGCACAACATGATCTACTCGACCACCATTATGGTTACCGCCAAAAAAAAAACAGAGGTAAAAAAAAACACGGTAACCTGGTTGCCGAGTTCACGAAGTGAACTAGCTTGTTGCCGAGTTCACGAAGTGAAGTAGCTTGTTTTACAACGTCGTCGCCAGGCGACGAAAACCCAACCCCGATGGAAAACACCGGGGGGGGCGGCTTGTTTTACAACGTCGTTGCCAAGCGACGAAAACCCAACCCCNCCTACAAAGCCGGGACGGAGCACGCCGGGTTCTCACCGGACCAGGCTCTCACATCACCAAGCGCGAAGCGCCGTGAGATATTCGGCGAGTCGCATGAAGGGTGCGCTGCATCCTGCTAAGGTGGTCGGCATCTTGTGCTTACTTTCTTGCGTACGAATGACAGCTGCGTATGACTTAATTTATTATTCTGGTGCTTTCACTTCCAGAGACAGTTATAAGCACTGTGTAAATGCCTCAAGGATGCTTGACCTTTTCAATACAACGTGGTGCGATCATGCCCTTTGCGCGGAGTGAGGGTTCTCCACCCCGCACAACGTGATCCTCGACCACCATTATGGTTACCGCCAACAAA